TTAAAATTATCAATAATCTAGAACAGTGAATAATAACCAGAAACAAGAAAAAAGCTTGTTTTTGGTAATGAAAATGAAATTTCATTTGTCTCCGTCCCCGATTATCCTACCATAAAAGTCGTTAATATATTCATTATCCCTCGTGGCGAAATTGAAATCGATCAAAGTGGAAACTCGAGCTCTCTGAGCAAGTATGTTTCCTTTTCATTACCCCAGGAGATTAATAATGTATTTAATTTTTCATGTTTAACAATTCATGCATGCCATCTTCATTGCAAGAATGTGCTGTTACAGCTGAGAGATATATATACTGATGACTTTAAAAAATACCATAGAAAAAATAAAAGTTTACATTTAAACATGGCTGTTATGCATTGCAATATTGAAAAAGCTAAGATTATAATATAGCTACAAAGTTTCTATTTTTAGTTTCAAAACTCTTCTAAAGGTTGGTAAATCGACGATGAGACTTTATACTAATACAAGGGCTGTTTTCCATTGTCGTGTTTTTTTTTGCACCTACGTACAAGCACGTAAAAGTTTAAAATCACTTAAATGTGCTTATGAAATCAACGATTGAACATCCAGATACATAGGTTTGGGTTCTGTTGATGATTTGGTGTATTTTTCTGGCTAAAATTAATTATAAAACAACTTTTACGCGCGTGTACTTACCCACAGAAAACGCGTTAGTGGAAAGCAGCCCTTAGAGTGGTTACCCCTCAAGCATGTTTTCCACTGGGCGGAATTTTGCGCGAGAAGTGGGATTTCCCATAGCGATTTTCCAAAGCGATTTTTTTATTTTCCAAAAGCAGATAATATTCTTGTAGATTACGCAACGATAATACATTTTGACTGCCCTGGCGTGCATAAATTCCAAATTTTGCTTCCAGAATTTAATTAATATGCTCCTGAAAACTTAATAGTATATAAAATCTCAATTTTTGTCAAATATTGAATACACCTATTTCTCTACAGAGCGAAACGAGGCTAACAAGTCGACCAATCATAGCTCTTGTATTACGGTTATACCGTGTATAACCGTATATTATATATATTTTTCTTTCAACTGTATATACAAAGTTTTATGGAATATCATTAAAGATTAACAGAAATGAATCAACTATAATACCGTTTTTTTAAAGTTCTATACTTGCGTAACATGTACAGTGCTTCCAGTTCTTTCACCACATAATTTCCTCGATCGATGAGCTGTTGAATCTGTTTCGGATCAGTGACATCCTTATTCTTCATGAAAGCTTGGTGTAATTTCGCGTGAAAATATTCCTTTCCTGCAGGATAATCCTTACCAAGGTGATAGAGCTGTGAAATTTATGAAATCTGAACAATGGTCTTTGTAATATTAAGAATAGAACTTTGGAGGATAAAAATAATTAAATAAATATAAGAAATTTCACTAACGATCTTGGAACAGGAAACTGCAAGTACCGCTAGCTTTCAAGCGGGCAACGCGTGACGGTAGGTGATTATCAATGTCAATTTGAGTTATGATTGCGAAATCACAATGCCATGTTCAGGAGCGATTGAGTTTACCTACAAACAAAATCGCTTCAAAGCTGAGCGATATTGCTAATCAACTACCGTCACGCATTGCGCGCCTAAAGCCGGTTTTCCACTAGCGATATTTTTCGCGCGAAGCGACTTTATTCCTTTGTATTTAAGCAATTTGTTCCAGATGTTTGCAGTTGAGAGCTCTCGAACAAAAGTAAACTGTCGATTCGCGCGAAAAATATCGCTAGTGGAAAACCGGCTTAAAAGGGGAAAGGTCTATTATGGCAATGACATTGCACCAGAATTTTTTTCTGACTGCATTTTTTCAGGGCAATGCAAAGTACCAAAGTCTTCCTCTGTACAGACCAGTTCATATTACCTGTCGATAAAGATTTTTCACTGCTATTCGCAGATTTCCCTGAGCTGCCATTTTGAAGAACACGTAGTTGCAAAAATACGCAGTTTTAGTTTCACAGTTAGCACCAAGCAGACCTCAACATCGCAAGTATATTGTTACTGTGAAGGATATAAAAGTACACGTTGTAAGCGTAAATACGATAACCTACTAAGCCTGCTTGGGTTACTTGGAACACCCAAATGGATTTTCAAAATTTAAAACTGAAAGGAAAAAACGGTGTTGGTCACAGGCTGACAATGACAATAGGTCAGTTCAAAATTTCAAATTCACTGGTATGCAAAATTTTAACCATTTTCAGGCATGACTAACACTAGTGATCAGAGAAAATTTAGTTTAGTTTAACTGCAAAAAGCAAATACTGCATTTTGATTGGATACACTGCTTGAATATTTAATGAGAATGAACATCATATTTCTTCTTGTCATGCATAAATTGTTAAAACTTTCTAAAATATTGTTCTCCTACTAGTATCAATCTCAAATGTGAGAGGCACTTTCTCATATAGTGATAACATTTACTGCCATGGTAATTTTTATTCCGTTCAAGACTTGAAGGTACTCTTTTTGGTTTATTATTTTGAAATATTTTGAAATATATATATATATATATATATATATATATATATATATATATATATGTATATATATATATATATATACAGTTGTTATCAATAAGGTTGTCAGCTGAAAATATATATAAATACCTAAATATCGATCACGTGATTGTACTGCATACGTTAATTTTGTGGGAAATCGTTGGAAATCTATCGTGAAAAATTCTTAAATGTCATAGTAAGGTAAATTATATTAATAATAATAAAGAAACAAGAGGTGAGTGAGCAAAATAAGCCATGTTTAATGGTCACGTGATTGATATTTATATATTTGTATATATATATTGACATGGACAACCTTAATGATAACGACTGTATATATATATATATATATATATATATATATATATATATATATATATATATACACACACCCATTTGCAAAAACGTTGGCCGCAAATAGATAGATAGATAGATAGATACTCGAAGTCTAATTTCCATGATTTGCTCCAAAGTAAATTTGGAGTTGCAACACATATATATATATAATTTTTACTACCATCAATTCTGTGCCTAAAAACATGTTTCATTACATTTTACCATTGCAAAAATTCATCGTTAACGAAAAGGGGCGTAACAAGTTGAACCTAAAAATAGCACACTTGCATCTATAAGTACACTTTTGCGACAGTAAACATGCAAGTTTACAGGGTAAGCAAACACATTTTTATCTCAACGGTAGCTTGCAAATAGTTTATAATCTGGTATTCCATGTTTCATGAAATCAAAGAACTATGTTGAAATTTTGTATGCAGTATTGCACCAATAAAAACTTTCATTACACCAAAAATACAATATACAAATGCCTCAATGTCTTTTGAATAAACTGTAAAAACTCAATTTGTTCTCAGTGTTGAGCACTAATATACTAATTGTAATTTTGCATGGTGATATCGCAATATCAGTAAATTAACTAGTAGGTACCTACACCACGAACACGTTTGACTTTACAGTCGATAAACTTAACGAGACTATAACATGCCTTTTCAATATAACAAAAAATTGGGAAATAAATACGTCAACAACTTTGGGAATGTCTGGCTACCCTGGGAACATATTAATTTACTTTAGATATTTTGTTTGTCAATAATATATTTCGAATATATATAATGAATTTATATCCCATTCAATAAAATGGGATATAAAGTATCACAATTTTACAAACCTTCATTTCAGTTCCTATTAAATTGCAAGCAAAAAATCCTCTTTATAAATAATCTTGAAAGAAAATGTCAAAATGTTTGACCAAAGAACCCAAACCAAAACTGATCAAAACATTAGGGTCCAGTCTCTCTCTTATTCTTTATCATACTAGGAGTTTTTATCAGACGAAATTGCTGCCGACGTTCTGAATTAAAATATTTACTTCTGCCCAGTAGCTATTTCTAAAATTAGTAAAATGTTTACATGAATTTTAGGGATGACAGTTTTATTCAGAAATTTTTGGAAGACCAGGGAAACAGTGTGCCATTAATAATGGCAACATGGGCGTAAATCAAATGTTAATTAAGGTGGACCATATCATATATTCTGTTATGCCAGACTGATTTCTAATAAAAGTGTAATTGTTTTCAAAAGATATTAGTAAAGCATAATAAACAGAATATATTAACATGGTCTCCTTCAATTAACGTTTGATTGACACCAGTGGACCGGAGGGCAAAATTAACAAGATGCATGCTTAGAATTAAATGGAGTAGACACAAGGCCTAAAATGGGGGGGGGGGTGTATATTCATATATTCATGTTTCGTAGAAACAATAGCTAACTAAAAAAATCAGTCAGGAATAAGACAAATATATGAAAATGCACCCCCTCCCCCAATTGAGGTTCCAGCGACGGCTCTGAGTGGAGAAAGAAGAACCAGTAGCATACATTCTGTCCATTCTGTCTGAAAATGATCTAATAGGCAGCAGGCATTTTGGTGTACGTGCGTCTGGAGCATATAAGGCTTGACTTGAGTAATTCGATTTGGTTCAAAACGAAAAATTAAATGCTGCATGGCGTTAAAGCGGTTAAGGTTAAAGTTCTTATCTTACAATTTTACCTTGTATGAATACACTTCTACGCATGGCGGATTCTTTTGAATTCTCACATAAAGACATTCTTTGCTCTGTTCTTATCCTCTTGTTTCTTTTACACAAAGGACGAAACGCCGCGTACGGGGATACTGATTCGCACGCTTGATTATCTTGTCTTTTGTTCTCCTTTTTTACCTACCTCCTTACATACTTTTGATTTCGAACATCACCAACAACAATACACAAATTATTACTACACACGTAACTACTACAGTTTCTTCAATATTTTTCTCACGCACAAATAAAACCTAAATTCGTTCACACCACATGGCTGGTGGTTTTCCAGCACTTTGCTCACCACCGCCTCTTTATTTTTTTACCTACCAATTTTACGCCGACCCTTCATATACATTATTATTTATTCATGACTTTCTCCTTTTACCAATTAAGTAACAATGCTTTTTCAAAGATCATTAATGGTTGTCCATTATAGTTGTAAACTAAATAACGAATATAAGAAAAAATCATAAGCACATGCAATCCTAATGACTATAGATTTAACAAAAAACTACCATAACCTATAACATGCACTAGAAATGCCCTAAAACGGCTCAAGTCTTATCATGCACCTTCTAAAATAAAAGTCTTGTCATGCACTTTCTAATATTAAAGTCTTGTCATGCACTAATTAACTAAAAAGTTCCTGTTAATGCTAACGAAATAATTATTACTGATTATATAATGTTTGCTCTTGTCCATGGTTTAATATTGGCGGAGTTTAGCACACAGAGAATCGACCATTTCTTCACTATCACAAAACACTGAAAAGGCTGCATGACATTTATCGCCTTCATCAACAGCCGTCATAATTATAATTCGGCTGCTGAGATTCTCCTCGTTAATAGAATTCGCTTTCTTAACCAATTCCTCACTTGTGACATCGAAAGTTGCACATACTTCGTATCGGGACTTTGTCAATCCCAATTTTGCCATGTTTGATGCAAGGATAAGGTGCGACGTGCTGGCGTTTATACGAGGATTCAAGTCTACCAGATAGTCTCCCCTGGGACTTGTAATTATATCGATACCCACCATTCCGAAGTAGCCTTTGTTATGTAGGTATTTCGCTACAGGCACCACAAATTTATCATACACTCTCTCTCTATACTTATCCTGCATGTCCCAGTCAATTGATCCACCATGGTATTGGAAATCTTTCTTCACAGCGCATTCTTGAACTCCGAGGTATATGATGTTTCCGGATTTTGTAACGTAGAAGCCACAGCCGATAGTGCTTTGTACTTCTTGAATATATTCAGACACGACGTAAAATGCATCGGAGCCAAATCTTTCCGTGATCAATTTCAACTTCTCCCCGAATTCTTCACGGCTTTGCACCACATAGTTGCCATATCCACCGAAGCTTTGGTCAATCTATTTATGACGTGAACGATTAAGAATAAGATGAAGCCAGGGTCACTAAATAATTCAATTTTCTAAAGTATGCTAGATGAATAAGACTTTTAAACGGCCCTTGGCCTTGGATTTGTTTCGTTCACGAATTACGATTATATTAGTTTGGCCATAGACTATCGAAGGGAATGTACTGTAAACGCTAATACAAAGCGCTGATACAATTAATGCGTGATACGGCTATGCGATTTGCGCCGGAAATTAAGTCCAAGACAGTCCATATCTTCTCTGTGAAGATGGCTGAAAGCTTAAACAGCGAAACTGTTGATGCAATTTTTGAATATACTCATAAAGAAGAAGCTATTGAAAGCGAAGAAGAAAGTAGCGAGGAAATTAACGAAGACGAGAAACTCATTCTGAATAAAAAATGTCCAGAAATAATAATGTTGAAGAAACGCCTGGTAAAAAATTAGTAACTGAATACCATAAATAATGAGCATTTTTATTAAACGTCCAGGTGTAGAATATAAACTGATGTGCTTGCTTTATTTGTGATTTTTTAATGAAGTAAAGTAAATCTGTTTCTATACTGTTTCTGTTTTATAAAATTATGGGAAGAATTGCAATCATTTCAAAAAAAATATTGAAATTTGAAATCCTTTATATATATAAGAGTCTATTCTACATCTTTGCCATGATGTGGTTACATATTATAGAAAATCATGGCAAATATACAAATATTCCTTTTCTAAGCTCTGTGCTGGTGGTGAAAAGTTAGTGGAGAAAGCTATGAGTGATATTATTAACGATCCCTTTAACAAGCTAAAAGGAACACTAAATGGACCTCAACTGCCAGCGTGAGAAAATCTGGCAAGCATTTCACAACATGTGCTCAAACTCTTCTTTTGTTGAGGGGTTTAAGTCTTACTTGCGTTCAGCCTTGAATGATCAGCCCCCATTGACAATTTTTATTCAGACCTTAGTACGAAAGCTGTTTGAAAAAATAATTGTTCTGAAATCTGGTGCATAGTTTAGTTCTGAGAATCCTGAAAGTCCTGAGAAACATCTATTATAATTGTCCTCAATAGTTTCATGCATACATGTTGCATGATGTAGCACAAGTGGTAACATGGTTTGTTGCTATGGTAGCTATTTCACTTGCTTCAGCTAGAGGATGACATCCATAATTGTCCACAATAGTTTCACGCATACATGTTAATGTAGCACAGGTGGTAATGTGGTTTGTTGCTATGGTAGATATTTCATTGCCCAATTTATCCTTAAATAGAAAAGAAAATGCATTGCCACTAGCTTTTTAACAACATCAGTTTGTGTATTAGCCTTTCTCGCGATGACGTTTTTGGGGTACTTTCAATTTTCTCAAAATGTGTTGTTTAAAAAATCATAACAACATGAAAAGGAATTTTTTTAGAATCAACAGACCATTTGAAGAATAATTCCAGCCTAAAATTAAAGACAGCCGTCGTTACGAAGTCGTACGCTCACAGTTTTGTTAAAAAGTACCCCCAAAATAGCGGCATATTGGTCAGGCTAATCAAGACTATTAAGGTTTAATTACCTGCATGATATCTTCATTATTGCCGGTTTTCTTGCTCTGTAAGCATTTGTAATTTCTTAGTCCTATATTCAACCTTTCCTTCTTAAATCTCTTTTTTTACAGAAAAACCTCTTTTGTATGGCATCATGAAAAAAAATTTACTTTATAATTTTAATTACTTATTAATTAAAATACATTACTCTGTATAAACTCACATTATATAAGAATTGCAACTCCTGAATCAATATACAGGGTGTCTCAAAAAAAAACGCAACACTTAATATTCTAAAATTCATATTGTTCATAAGCTCAATAGATTTTATGCCCCTGGGATTTTAAAATGGCTTCTAATCGTACAGTTCAACTGCTAATAGTCAAATCAGCTAAACTAATAATGGTGCAGCTAACAACCGAACAACGAGTTTTTATTGTCGTGCGTGATAACTTATTGACTGCTAACTGTCGACCTTGTAAAATAAATTGTAATTCGTTGATTTAAAATAAATCGTTGGTTTACGCACCCGACTTTGTTTACCGACGATTGTGCCACTAGAATATGATTACAAGCTTTCTCGCATTCCAGGGGCCAAACGTCTTTTGTGTTGTAGAACAAAGAGGATATTCATGAATATTAAGTGGTTGCGTTTTTTTTTATACACCCTGTATATAGTTAATCTTTCGAGGTACATGTAGGTTTAGGGTAATAAAAAGGTCATACCATAAATAAAGATGTTTGTTTTCGTCTATTTAAATTTTAGAGAAAAAATGTTTCTTGTTTTCTTAAGCTAATGGGTTTCTTTTGTGCCGCTTTCTTGAGCAATAACAATGCTTTTTTTGTTTCGAGCGAAATTACGGAATTTCATATTATCGCACTTTGCCCATCTTTTTTCTTGCAAAACAAGAGAATTGATTTACATATTTGACCTTAATTTTATAAGTGTGCATTAAGAGAGTCTGAATTAGTAAACTGTTAATATAAGTCAAAATCGTCAGGCTGGCTACGCCACTGACTGAGATTGATCAGCTTTTATTTAAAAATGATAGCGGAACGAATTATGCATGCGATCCGTTGACATATTGTTACAGGGGTCCATTAGCCTTCACTTTGACCCTTTAACTTCCGGTGCGCCATTTTATGCTAAACATCCGGAGGCGCAAACCGTTTAGGGAGCTATTTTCCCCAAAAGTCAACCTTTTCTAAAAATTCTTACCTTCTCAACTGCTTAACTTTTAATTTAACAGAAGAAAAATATATCCCAGCTGTTATATTAGGAAAAAATCGCCGTAGAGTCGACTTTGCAACTTGCTGTAAAAAAGTTTCTGGTTCCTTCTTGCACTTAGTTTCTATGGTAACGCAAAAAATTATTCGTGCTAGCCCATATCTCGCGGGTGTATTCGTCGGACACAGCGCTTTATATTAGCTATCAGCGTTTCCAGTCCATTCCCTTCGATAGTCCCTTTCTACATTGTCGTTGTCATTCAGTCATTGTCATTCAGTCATTGTCATTCAGTCATTGTCATTCAGTCGTTGTCATTCAGTCGTTGTAATTCAGTCGTTGTCATTCAGTCGTTGTCATTCAGTCGTTGTCATTCAGTCGTTGTCATTCAGTCGTTGTCATTCAGTCGTTGTCATTCAGTCGTGTCATTCAGTCGTTGTCATTCAGTCGTTGTCATTCAGTCGTTGTCATTCAGTCGTTGTCATTCAGTCGTTGTCATTCAGTCGTTGTCATTTAGTCGTTGTCATTCAGTCGTTGTCATTCAGTCGTTGTCATTCAGTCGTTGTCATTCAGTCGTTGTCATTCAGTCGTTGTCATTCAGTCGTGGCCGTATTGCCGTCGCCGTCGCCGTCCGTGGGTGTATTACCGTCGCCGTCATCGTCATCGTCATCGTCATCGTCATCGTCATCGTCATCGTCATCGTCATCGTCGAATTAAGGACATGAAACAGAAACAGATACAGTTACAAACAAAATACAAGAGTATAAGTACGAAACATAGGCAAGTCAGTTTCAACTCATTCTACCGTCGCCGTCATCGTCATCGTCATCGTCATCGTCATCGTCATCGTCATCGTCATCGTCATCGTCATCGTCATCGTCATCGTCATCGTCATCGTCGAATTAAGGACATGAAACAGAAACAGATACAGTTACAAACAAAATACAGGAGTATAAGTACGAAACATAGGCAAGTCAGTTTCAACTCATTCTTTGTAATATACATAGATTTAAAAGAAATCACAGATTCCGCAATTTTAGCCTGAGGTGGAAGATTATTCCAAAGCAGGGCACCATTATAACTGAAGCACCTCTTGCCAAATTCCTTTTTTGGCATAGGTGGTGCTAAATCAGTTTCTCTATTCCTGAGATTGTATGAAATGTCTCTATTACTATTAGGGCGAAAAACTTCTTTAAGATTGGGAGCGGTGTGGCCATTAAGAATTTTGTAAATAAAGATGGATTTTAGGTAGTTTCGCCTAGATTCAAGAGGTTTCCAATTTAAACTTCTAAGTGAGTAGATCAACTGATCGAGTATCGTAGGTGGCCCCAGTGATTACTCTTGCCGCTCTATTCTGAAATCTTTGCAGTTTATCTTTGAGACCAATGCCGCAATTGTCCCATAATGGGCTGCAGTAATCAAAATAAGGCTGTACAACAGCATTATATAACAATTTTATACTCATTTTTTACTCATTACTATCAAAACATGTAAAACACTTCCAATGCCTTACCTTGATCATACACGGGAATTCGACATTAGTCTCGTTGAAATACTTAGGATGCGGTGCACCAATTTCAGTAACTGCAGATTTCTTCAGGATATGGTAGTGCAATTCTGGCTCGACTGCGTGCTTTTGCTTCGAAATGGCTTCAAGTGGAAACAGCATGATGCAAACATTGTCATCTTGTAGCCCCTCATCGATTGTTTTGATCACAGGCTCCACAAAAAGATAACACCATTTCCTCCAGTGAACTAAGAGGAATTCGCTTGGTAATTCAGGTACTAAGATGGGCAGCTGGTTACCAGCGACACAGCAGTTACGGAGAGGAACGAGGAATAGTTTCAAAATATCCGATGATTCAGGTATATAAAAAATACGGTATTCCCCTTTGTTAACAAAACGAAATGCATCGTCGTTGAAGGAACTTGGGTAAACCGGGAGAAAATTAGCGCAAGGAAAATCTTGCTGGAATAAATTTCCAAGGGTTAAAGTTTTTCCTATGTTGTTATTCTCTGTTTCATAATTCGCCATTGCTAAAAATTTCCATGCAAATCTCGTCGTTAGTAATAGACCCTTTGCATGTTAGACTACTTTTTGGTCGGTGCAAAATAATCCAATCAAATCACCACAGCTGAAAAGAGCGTACCAAAATTAGTAAAAAGGCAAAGTTTGGTTGCGAAATGTCGTAAAATCCGGAAAATATAGCCTTGCAAAGTTTGCAAATTTGCATACTTTTGTTTAACGCACGCAAAATGTTACCACATTCGGGCCCAAAATGGTAACTTTTTGCGTGCGTTAAATAAAAGTATACAAATTACGCATTTTACGACGTTTCGCAACTAAACTTTGCATTTTTACTAATTTTGGTACGCTCTTTTCAGCTGTGATGATTTGATTGGATTATTTTGCACCGATCAAAAAGTAGTCTAACATGCAAAGGGTCTATTCCGGAATACCAGATTGATTCCAAGTCGTTCGAAAGGCGTTCAGCCCAAACAGTAGATAAGCGAAAGTTTAAAAATACTCAAATATACATATATATATATATATATATATATATATATATATATATATATATATATATATATATATATATATATATATACATATATATATAATTATATATATATATATATATATATATATATATATATATATATATATATATATATATATATATATATATACATGAATCTTGTGAATGTCTGAATCTACATCTTATGCATCAAATATGTACTTGACAATTAAAAACTATTTAAATCAAAATGTTTCAGCTCAATTGTCGGGAAATCCTGGCCCCGTAACCCAGACAGCAAAAAATAGTTTTTGGATATAAAATAAAAAAACTCTGAGAGCAGTCGGCTTTTCTAAATATTTAATCCAACTCACTTCCTTCCCCCAAACTTCACAGCTCAACAAAAACACACTTTTCCCTCATCGGCCCAAACAATAACTATAAGTCAAACATTAACGGCAAAACTCAATTTTCAACACTCTCCCCCTATCTAAGTGTTAGGTAGACAGCTTTAACATTACTCATCTTCCTCTTCTTGTTCACTTAGTCCTAATCCCACAAGTCTGTTCTTAGCTGTTTCCTTTGATCGTCTGATTGGTCTCTGAGGGCAGAACTCTTGTGCATTCGGGTTAAGATTAGACTTCTTGTTGTCCATATTGACACAGGCTATATCTTTTCATTCTCGCCTCCGATTTCCAAGTCCGAATAAGATGAACTGGACGCTCAACTAGGTGACCACTCGCTGTTCAAACCTTATAACCTCTGACGACACCGCCCCGTCTGACAACTTCCCCTTCAATTTGTGCGATTCTCCATTGAGCTTTCCGCTTAAGTGAGTCCTTGATTAAAACAACCCGACCAACTTTAAGTTAGCATTCCGTGCGCCGCTCCTCCGACGTTTTTCATCCAGTGCATGCAAGTTTTCATTGATAAGCCTTTTCCTTAAATGTTCTCTAAATATAGTTGTTCACAACTTTGTCTTTTTTCAATTGATTCAACCACTTCTTTGTAGCAACGAACGCTATTGCGTTATCGCTCACGATCAACTTAGGCGTGCCACGAACTCTTTCAGTGTTCTTTTAAATTCCGCAGCAGAAAAATCCTTGCATTATCTCAAATGTACGGCACGAGTTGTAGCACATGTAAACAACGTACGTACGTTTTGGCTGTTTCATTCATTTCTTGCCGGCTTTGTGATAAATGGGTCCGGCAAAGTCCACTCCAGTAATTGAAAATGTCTGGGTCAGCTTCGTCCTGAACGTTAGGGAGCTTTAGCAGTGACTACGAGTATGACTACGAGCACAGAGTAAGTAATAGATACAGAGTAGTGTTCAATTATCGACTATCACGTGCTCACGAGGAATAATTATTGGATTGTAATCTGGGACTCGACCTTGGCAACGAAATACCCCCGAGTTATCCACCTTGAGTAGAAATGGACAACGCAATTTTTCTTCTTGCGCCATTATAGCACAACAAATCTCAGCTGCCTTGACTTCGTCTGTTCTTAGAACTGTTCTCTCGAAATTGCAAGATAAAAGCCGTTATTCTGATAAGTTTCCAAATTCTTCAAAAGAGATAATTCCCATTCTTTCTTTTTTTTTCTACTTGGTCTCCACTAGCCTGCATCAGCAACTTCTCCTTCTGCTTTGGTATGAGTTCAATCAACGCTTCATTTGTGGACAAAACCTCCGGCAATGTATCTGTGGCCAGTTATCTCTATCAGGCATCCATCTAGTATGGACCCTTGAACCAGAACTCGCCGAGTTGCTCAGGGTTTACTCCTCGAGTACATAAGTAGTCTAGTAAGTCACTAGGGTTTTGATCCGTTGGCACGTACCGCCTTCGCTAATTCTTTTTAAAATTAGCTTCACGAGCGTTTGAGCTGCGACAAGCTCGAGTCGTGGAATGGGTGTATCTTTGAGGGCAACACGTGCTTTCGAATCCTGGAGATTCTGGCTCTTTTTTCCGTTACCGTAGGTTCCGACAACATAAACCACAGAACAAAACCGCCTTCTTGCTTGCGTCCGAAATACCATGTAAGGTCAACTTTCCAACCTCCTGTTCTACTACACAACGAAGCACTGTCATTCCCAGTAATCATCGCTGGCGCTGGCGATGCTAACCCTAGGACATGAAACACTCCGTTAATAATACCCAATATCTTACGTTTCGTAAGAGGTGCCGTGGGATAGAGGCAGCGCTCCAGATTTATTTAAAGAGGGTCTTCGTCTTTTTGCCATGATGTTCCTAGAATTTTGTTGTTCTTTTGTTGGTCTCAATTTCTTTTGTTGTCGAGCCCCCTTGAACTGCCGCCGAATGGCCAGTTGTGTTTCCCGCCTCAGCCGCGTTGCTATTTGTTAACCTTAAATCCAACTAAATCCTCCTTGAACTTTTGCAGTTCCTCAACTGAATCCCCCCCCTGATTGGACATCATCCACATACGTGTCCACTAGCAATGCTTTCGCCGTTGCTGTGTATTCTTCTTCGAATTTCTTTACATGCTTCTTTAACGTAGACTTTGCCGTATATGTTTCACGTTCGCCGTATAAAATTTAATGCTTGAACGGCTGAGGGCGTATGCAGTCGTTCAAGGCCACTAAAGGTCTCTATTAACCACGCTTGCTCTGGCTTGAATTGAAGTGTGTATAATTCCACTCGACATTAAGACCTTTAAACCTTTTGAGTTCGAGAGAGGAGATGTTAGCAGCGCACAGGATAGTGAAGCAAGAAGCGGGTGTATTTAGATTTGCAGTTGGTTTTGTAAATGTTTGTAGACGTGTGAGTTTTTGTCAGTGGAAGTGTGTTCTTTTATCCTTGTGGCGAGATGCATGACGGGTGGTTTCACCAATGTAACAGGAATTACATCCTGCGCAAGTAAATTTATATACCACGAGGGATTTCAGTTCACTAGGAATTGCATCCTTTAAGTTAAAAATGTTTTTGATTTTGTAGGAAGTGAACACTAGGTTTATGTTGATATCACTGCAAAATCGATTGGCAATGTTGAGGAGTTTCTGTTCGGTAATTTGAGAGGAATGTCCTGTATATTGGAGTTTGAAGTAATGAACGTTGGGTTGTTGTTGGTTATAGGCAGATTGTTGTTGAGAGTCAGCTGTTGTTTGTGAGTTATTCCTTTTATTGTAAAAACTAATGATGCGTTGAGGCCATCTTTGGTGTTATTAATTTCGTAAATGCGATCTATAAGTGTTTTAATGAGACCCGATTTTTTTTATTTCTAATGATTTTTTTTTTGATTTCACTTCCCACAAAATAAAAAAAAAATTTAACTTAAAGGATGCAATCCCTAGTGAAATCCCTCGTGGTATATAAATTTACTTGCGCAGGATATAATTCCTGTTACATTGGTGAAACCACCCGTCATGCATCTCGCCACATGGATCAAAGAACACACCTCCACTGACAAAAACTTACACGTCTACAAACACCTACAAAACCCTAACTGCAAATCCAAACAGTGGCGTGGCCAGCCTTTCAAACTTCGAGTTATTATGATTATTTCTTTAGAAATTTATTGTTTTCACAGTCAATGAACACCAAAATATTAGCATAGCGGGACAAATCGTCAGGAATACACCCGCTCTTGCTTCACTATCCTACAGGTTGTCCCAAAAAAAACGAAAACTATTGAAATCACTCATTGTTAAAATTTGAATGCCGTGTGCACGAATTTTAGCCCGTGGGGATTTAATGCAACTCAGTGAAATGCCAAATACTTTTTGTTGCTAGAGAAAGGGGACATGTCGAAAGTCTTGGTGATTGAGATGCACATTTAAATATTGTTAATAAATATCATTTTCGCGTACGAACAAATTTTACTGCGTCATATGCATGCATAAAAATGCTTTTGGCAAACATTTACACATTTGTGGGTCCCATGCAACAGAGTGCTTAGGCATCCAAACTCTAACAATTACATTGTTATGGGTGATTTCAATAGTTTTCGTGTTTTTTGGGACACCCTGTAGGTACTGGTAACATCTCCTTCTCCCTCAACTCAATGAGGTTCTGTACATACGCAAACATAAACCAGACCTTAACAAACTGGTTCAGCATTTTAATTCTATTTTCTAGTTATATAATTTTTGTCTGTCGTGTAGTTCTACTTAGTATGCATATCTTGTACCCTGTTATATGTTGTCAATCACTGTTGTAAATAATTATGTTATTCATTGAGTATCACCATCACCTCGCCTGTATCATATTTTCACTTTATATATTTCACAATGTAAATAACTAATTCATTCGCACTGAAGAGATAATCTAATTCTCGCGGGTCGCAAGTTTTTTTCACAGGTCGTCGGTTTTTTACGTGATTTTTTTGTGCACATGATTTTTTTGTTCACGTGTATAGTGAATTTTTGACAATTTGTGCTTTGCTCTCTGAATCTGTTATGGTTTTATGAATTCACATTTCAAGGTTTTCAAAGCGTTATTTCATCGTTATTTCTGGTATTTGTAATTCGATAGCTGTTTCAGTAATGGTAAATCAGTTATGATTTTTGGCACTTCACTCGATGCATGTAAACTGATTCTAGAGGTTTAAAGGATCTTAATTTCGAGTGGAATTATACACGCTTCAAATTGAAGCCAGGAACAGTTGATGGAAAAATGAATCAACAATAGGTCCTCCGGCAGAAATCGAACCTACGCTTTTGCGATGCCGGTGTTACAGCGGATAGTGTCCCCCCGCGGATAGTGTCCCCTCCGCTAGCGGATAGTGTCCCCTTTAATTACGTTACCGCGGATAGTGTCCCCCACGTGAAAGTCCAAAACAAAAGTTAATATTTGCTAGAAAATATATTTTATTTAAAAAAAGTTGCTTAGTAATACATTTTAGCTACACAACAACATACTTAACTAGATAAAGGAACAAGAATAGCAATAATTATCTATACATTTAACTATGATACAGTACTTGAAAGTTCGTCATGCATATAAATTGTTCAGGATGATACAATGTTGACTCGTTCTCCATACTAAACTCCAGCAGATCACTTTTGAAAATAAGTGGACAACTGTTTGGCAACTGGCAACTCTTTATACAGTTGTTTTGCGGCTTTTCTTTGTGAGTCATTGTGCCTGGGCATTGAAATGCTTTTGTGTAGTGTTGATTAATCCATCCATTGTGCAGCTAATGAGCGCTCTTGTTTTTGAGGAATGCCTTGCAAGTCATTAGTCATGTTTATGTCGTATATTAAAGTTATGATATTGTGTAATAACATGTTTAAGTTCGAAACACTAATAACACTAAAATTCGAAATACAAATTTAGAACTTTTTCAATCACGTAATCGTGATCGACCAAAGAACTAAATCTCCTTTAGTTGTTTTATCGGGGGGACACTATCCGCGAAGGGGGACATAATCCGCTAGCGGATAGTGTCAGGAGGGACATAATCCGCTAGCGGATAGTGTCGGGGAGGATACTTTCTGCGGGGGACACTATCCGCTAGGACACCGGTGCAATGCTCTTGCCACTGAGCTACAGCTTGTTTCAGTAATGCTAAGAAAACACATACCACATATAATTTGCGGTTACAGTTTTTGTTTTTTATTAAAACGTTTAATATGCGTTGCCTCGTGTTTTGCAAAATAAAATGCAGCGTCGAGTTTTTGTTCGGTTTTGACAATGTTCTTTTGCGTTCGTTTGCTTTTATCTATCAAGACGAGTACTCCAGAAGCCAGAAGTTTGATACAAGAAGCCAAAAAGCTCGACTTGGTTTTGTTTCACGATCCTTCAGGCAAAAAAATCGTTGTTTATACCAATTCCTTGCCTATTTTCTTGGCGTGGACGTTCACGATTTTTTCTGCAACGCATATTAAACGAGGCATTTATTTGTATACCGTCAATGATTCGCCTCGAAATACAATAACGAAACTTCCTGTGAATTCCCTTCGAGTTATTAATTCACTCCGTTCGCGTGGAACGCGATCTAAATTCCCTCGAAAGTTCAAGTATGTCAGTAAATTTCCCGTAAACTTATTTGATACTAATTCCGTTATGAGTTCTTTCCAAAGTTGATATGATCTTTGTTTACTTCGTCGTAAATCCCTCAAATCGTCGATTAAAATTCACAATTGTATTGTTTACTTCGAAAATAATATTCTTGTAACCCAATGTCCCAATTTCACTATACATCGACTTACATAGTTCGAATCCTGCCGTAGGTCGCCACTTTTAGTGTCGGGAAATCCTGGCCGCGTAATCCACACACCAAAAAATAGTTTTTTGGTTATAAAATAACAAAAACTCTGAGAGCAGTCGGCTTTTCTAAATATTGAATCAAAACTCACTCCCTTCCCCCAAACATCACAGCTCATCAAAATAACACCACCCGTATTCTAAGACCCCATTTACCGGCAAAAATTGGAACGGAAACGGCACAAAATAAAACGTAGTCCTCATCGGCGAAGTAAGAAAACGGAACGGATTAGTGAGTAATCCACTCCATGTAAAATCACCAGACTGTCCTTCGGTGTTCTCTCTCTACAAGCTCTTTTCGGTCTTATTGGAGAAGAAATGCCACATGACAAACAATTGTTGTACCGAGTCCTGCATGTAAACGCGACCACTAAGCGGAACATTTTCAAACCGCTGCAATTTTTGCACCGTTTTCAAATTATGCCGGCATCGTGTAAACGTATAGTCTTAATCCGATCGAATAAGGATAGAAATCTCAGGAAAGAGACATGACCGTACATCTCAGCAAAACTAGTTAACTCAGAAATACATCGTTCTGATTGGGTATTTCTGTCCTTAACAACACTCTTAACCAGTTACTTGTTATAAACCACTGTATCAACCAGTCTTATAAACCACTGGTCCGCGGAGAATGATAAAAATGTTGAACTTAGAGTAACATTGCGAGGCCCGTAAACCTAAAAATTGCCAAAAGCCCCGTTTACAGTATACGCTCGATTTATTGCCACAACAATTGAGTGTATAGTGTAAACGGGGCTAAAATTTCGCATATTTTGGATATTTCTGGACAAAACTCTATTTCATGCATATAGTATTGCGTGATATATATAGATACATAGACAGTTCAGACGAATTTCAAAATATATTAAGTTAATAAAATAACAGTTAAGAATGCATGTAAATAAAGCGTTTGGTTGACGACTTGGAAATGTGATTAATTTGAAATTTTATTTATCATGCATACATGTATACCGTATGATTTTGGTATCTGGTATATCTATGAACATTTAAAAGTTAAACTAGAAACTGATTGAGATTATTGTGCTTCATTGACAAGTTTGATGGTCAATTATATTTTATAAATTCCTATGCACAATGACACAGACATTTATTAACGTACACGCCTTAGGCCTCATGACAAGGACATTCGTTAAGGAAATACAGAAAAACACTTATCATCATGGTCTATAGAATAAGGCTACTGAATTCAACTATACAATATCCATGCAGTCACTTACCGAAGAGGTTTCTAAGGAGCCTGATTCCACGGCGCTTTTCCTCGGCGAAATGCGAAATTTGGCTTGCTTCTTTTGATTTGAATTGTGCGCAATCAACAGGTATTTATGGGAGAATGGGTTGTCGGGTTGAACTTTGAAGTACTCTATAGCCCGGGGTCTATATGTATGTATCATATTACACAACATATGCAATTCTAATTAGATTTCGACCATCTATCTATATATATCTATCTGCGGCCAACGTTTTTGCAAATGGGTGTATGTATATATATATATATATGTTCTTCTCGCAAGTATAACCAACCGGGCAAGCAGAAAATTCTACATGACCCCGGTGGGAATCGAACCCACGATCTTCGCATTTCTAGAACGATGCTCTACCGTCTGAGCTACAAGGCCAAGTTGGGAACTACAGTGGTTTTACTAAAGTTGTTATATATTAATAATATCATAATATTCATTTTTTGTAGACGTGAAAATGAGAAAATTATAGATGAATCCACACCTAAAAATTATTTATCTAAGTCTTTATGCATGTGTATTTATAATAGTCTTGATGTGTTTCATACTAAAAGAATATTAAAAACATTAAAGCACTCTTTGGGTCGTCATTGGGTTTCACATGCACTCGTTCATAAACCAGGAACTCCGGATGTTCAATAGTGCACTCGGCTCGTTTCTTGTTTATGAACTCGTGCATGTAAAACCCGATGCCGCACTCACAATCACAGAGTGCTTTAATCCTTATTATTATATAAAGCAAGTTTCAAAGTTTACCAGAATCTGATTGGCTAAAATCTCGTCACGTGAAAGGCGAGGAATCCGAATGTTTACCGCAAAACCTTATTTGACAGGTTTGAACCTGTTTCACCGGGGGTCAGTGCATTAACCAATATTTTCAATGCATATAAATTAATAAAAGCGGAATTCGTGATGCTACGTCACATCACACGACATATGACCTTTGAGCCCAGAGTAACAATGCAAGGCCAAGGCCCGTAAACCTGAACATTACCGTTTATTAAAAAAACTCATTAATATACAGTATATAGTATACTGCGAGTCGTTATGACGTGGTATATATGTGCTATTTGGTTAGTAAAATAGTTTGAGAAAAAATTAAGTCATTTTTCGGTTACTCCATTTTTCATCATTATACTTCATTTTTTTAAAAGCAATAGTTCACATTGATACTACGCAATACTACGCAATTCTGTGCGATATCTGGCGATTTTAAGCGATATTGCGCGGTTTTCAAATGTTAAACAACGAAATAATTCAATCTCTTGCAAGTACCAGGAGATGAAGTTAGTAAAAACACGGAAAAATCTCTTTCCTAACACCAGAAGTTCCTTTGTCTCAGAAGAATTACGGGACTTGTCTGTGAGCAATAAAAAAATAATTATCGTATTTCGCCTATGAAAGAAAATGCTCCATGTATATTACTCTAAATGAGTCAAGCAGGGCCTCTCAGAAAAATTTGGCCCATGGACGCAGTTTTATCTAATTGTATCGTATCTAACATTTTTTATTTTCTTCTTGATATTGGCCTCCCCTTTGAACAGGGGCCTGGGGCAAGTTTCCCCTTTTTCCCCCGCCTCTGAGTGGCCCTGGAGTCAAGTACCGACACCAGTTAACATTCAACACAAGATTTGCTACTGATTTTACTGTAGCGTGACTAGATCAACTCTTGAATATGGAGACACAAAGTGGTACATTGAAAGAATACAGAAAAGATAATTCAGAATAATAGTGCTGCATGGGTGTTTATTAAAGTGTAGTTTTAAGCAATCTTAAGATGCAAAAGTTCAGCGAAAAGCATGAGAACCATTGCATCAAAATCATCGCAAACATGTCTATGCCTGACCATCGTTTACACAACCCACTCCCAAATCGTGTTGGAGTCTTGGAGATACAAGACAAATGTAAACTGGATCAAATACTAACATGTATTATAATTATATTATAATTATAAAATTTGTAACAAAGAGATTTAAGAACAGTCCATTAGTATATGCCATAAACGGCTGTAATCGTAGTTTAACGAGACCCTAAAGTCTCGAAGCTTCTTAGCTTGATTTCTAATTTTTTAGCCTGATTTCATATATATATTAATAACATTATATACAGGGTGTCTCGAAAACCTTTCAAATCACGCATAACAATGTAATTGTTAGAGTTTGAATGACTAAGCACTCTGTTGGGACCCAAAGGTGTGTAAATTTTTGCCATAAGCATTTTTATGCATGCATATGATGTAGTAAAATTTGCTCGTACGCGAAAATGATATTTATTAACAATATTTACAATTTACAAATATGGATAACAATATTTAAATGTGCATCTCAAGGACCATGACCTTCGACACGTCCCCTTTCTCTAGCAACACAAAGCATTTAGCATTTTACTGAGTTGCATTAAATCCCCACGGGCTAAAATTCGTGCACACGGCATTCAAATTTTAACAATGAGTGATTTCAATAGTTTTCGGTTTTTTTGAGACACCCTGTATGCTGAAGAACATGGTAAACCTGATAATCAACTGTATTTGCAGACCCATTTTGTAGCGGTTCCGCTGTTGCGTGAGGCAGATATTAAAAAACAAATGAAAAAATGAAGGTTTATAAACAAGTATACATGCACAATCATTTATTATTATATCACAAGGTTTATAAACAAGTATACATGCACAATTATCTATAACTTACTTCTCCATAACCAGTGACTTTGATAATACTGTCTCTGAAATGGGCAAATTGCTATTTCTCAAATGCTGTCCAAACGATATCGTTGCAAAAATGATTGCACAAGTAACAGGAAATCCTGCTTTTATCGTCAAAAAATTTGCACGACAATAAAGGTGCGGGAGGTCAGCTAAAACAAGAAAGATTCTTTCTTGATATATACAAGTTTACATAGTAGGTAAGGACTAAGGAATGTGTTATCATAATTTAATATTCATTTTTTGTAAATTTAAGTTCTGATTGGTCGATTTGTACCACGTGAGTAAATTTTAAATAGCAACAACGCCACGGCAGTGCCGTCACAGATTAGCTAAAATTTATTGCCTTGGCAAAATGGCGGCAATTAATACGGAAATAAATAAAAAAATTGCCGAGCTTAGCGACCGACGAAATTGTAGATGAATGCACTGAAAGTCTTTATGTCTTTATGTCTTCATGTCTTTATTAAGTCTTTATGTGTGTTTATAAAAGTCTTTAGCTATGCCTATGTGTTTACTCAAAATGAATATTGAAAGCATTAAAGCACTCTTTGTTCGTACGTTATCGGGTTTTACATGCACTCGTTCATAAACAAGGAGCTCATTGTTTAATACAGTATTGAACTTCTCATTCCTTGTTTATGAACTCGTGCATGCAATTTTTTTTTTATTGTTATTTTTTTTTTAATAATGCATGCAAAATACAAGAGGAAAAAATAAAATTACGCATATAAACTTAAATATAAACTAGAGAAAACTACTTCATCTAATATTAGAGTATTTCTAGTATTGTAATTAAGGGTTAGAGACTGTTGTGAGTGTTTTGTTCACAAATAAACGCACGCGCTGACCATACAATGACGAGAAATTTCAATATCGTATGGTGACCAAGTGCGTTTATTTTTTAAACTCGAACATAAAATCTCTAACACTTTTAATATACAATCTGAGTTCATTTATTGCTGCATTGAAGATCCAAGCTTCGTTGCAGGCTGTCACTTATGAATAAACCATGATTTTCATGGATTATTGCGAATAAACCACGATTTTCATTAGCTATTGTGAATAAATGATGATTTTTAGGCCAATGCACGAAGATTGTATATTAAGGGCCTGTTTAACATGGAGCGAGTTATCCCGGCTATAACTCGTTTCATGTACACAGACCTAAAACCCGATAACGCAAGAACAAAGAGTGCTTTAATCCTTACTTAATATAAAGCAAGTTTCAAAGTTCACCAGAATCTGAAATGAATCCGAATGTTTACCGCAAAATCTTGTTTATCAGGTTTGAACCTGTTTGATCGGGGGTCAATTCATTAATCAATATTGTCAATGCATATAAATTAAGGTGGTCTTGTATAAAAAGCATTTTTGTTTCCTTTTGAAAAATAAAAAAACCTTTCAGTCACGTCATTTTGCAAGCCAAGTCGCTCTGAGTGAAAAAAGACTTGTAAGAGTTTTCAATAACCAATAACCATTGTTACCTATACCAGACACACCCAATGGTGGAAAATTGACGATTTTTGTAAAAACGATAGCAAACTAGGTCTTAGCGCTTGAACGATGGAATTGGTTTTATTTTTGTTACAAATATTTTTGCCTCGGAGCTAAACTAGGGTAAATAAAACTTGTCCAGTATTAAATGTTTTACAGGCTATAAATATAAAACTTCTGCGATCTATCTAAAATAAACAGTTGTTATTTCACTTAGACTGAACGATATAGAACACTTTTAGGTTCATGACAGACCCAATTGTCTTTCAGTAAAGTCTACCATGAAAATTTTATCAAGTTTGAGTTTTGAGTTACGTACTTTTTCCCAAAATAAGGGGATTGAGAATTTTAGTTTGCTAAAAAAAGCGACGAAAAGGTTTTGTATATATTCATAAATTATAGAGAATAATACAACAGAACAATGAAACAATATAATAAGCCAATCGACCCCATTTGTTTGCTTGGGATGAAACCCTAACTAATAAAACTTTTCGTTTAATTCTCGCGTTCTTTATATATTTTTTGAGAAAAAATATTCGGGATCGATTAGGGAGATATTTAAGTTTGCATTACTTGAAATTTTAAAAACAGAATAAATCGTGATTTTTTTGTATAAGACCACCTTAATATAAGCAGAATTCGTGATGCTACGTCACGTCACGCGATATATGACCTGTCCCGCGCAGACACGTATTAATACGTTAATTTGTTCATATTCTGTTATGAATTCGCTTTACCGGAAGTGATGTCAGCAAAAACGCTTTGAAAAGAAACGAACGATAGACGTTTGTTTGACATAGAATTCCAGATTTATTACAGTGTTTGATGATTCGATCTCAAATTAAGGAAAAAAGGCGAAAGATCTCAAGAGAAGTCCAGTGTAACTTCTCAAGAGAAGTCTAGGATTCAGTTGCAAAGGCGATGGAGGAGCGTGAGGACGAGCCACCCTCTGTCTTGGGATTGATTCCCCCAAGGCCTCATTCGGTGTTGTCGTCAACTTCGAATAAATCAGCCCAAGTTTCAGAAGCACGAGAAAAAGCGCATATTGCAAGATTAAAGTCCAAACAAATCGAAGAAGAGGCCGAAAGACGTAATAGAAGAACAGCGTCAAAGAGAAATAGAGAGAGTAAAATATGACCAAGAACGAGCGGCTAGGGAAGAAGCGGAAAGGCGCAGCATAAAGGATTGTAAAACTTTAGCTGCGCAAGCGAACTTGAATTGAAGCTCAGTTGACCGAGGCGGAATCAAATGCACCCTGAAAATTTGAAAGAACGGCTCCGAGATTTCGAGGATGAGCCAGGGTGAAAAGTGAACGTTTCTGAGAAAACCACTCAAGGTAAGGTTACCAAATTATCTCAAAAAAATCCTACATGAAAACATTCCACCTAATGACGCTAACAGTGAGGGGCAAAACCGAATTACAACTTGATTGTGCACCTATCACCCTCTACCATGAAACTAGTCCTACCAGCTGTTCAACCCCACTCTCCCTAGTCCCTGCCGCATGATAAGCAAGACAGCAATTGAGAAACTGCCAACATCTATGATATTAAAGTGGAACAAACACGCAGGGGCCCACGAACAGTTGTTAACGAGAGCCCAAATACAAGACTCCCTGGAAGTGAAATAGACCATCGCATGGCACGAGTGGACACGAAGGTGACGCAAATACCCAATTTAACAATGCCCTAACAGACCATTCAAATCTTGTGCTTTTGGGGATGGAAACCACCCGACCTTCCAGTGTCCACAGTTTATTGCATTGGAACCTGATGATGGAGCTGAAAAGGTGAAAAAAAGAAAACTGTGCGTTTGTTCCCGCTTACCTGGCCACCGGCACCGCTCACGTGACTCAGAATGAATGTAACAGTAGTGGCTACAAGAAACGATACCACCCTCTGATGCATGATGCTAAGCGTGTTTATCAGAATCGTAAGTCTGAACAACATGCTGGACTTCTATCCCAACAACCATCTCAAGTACGGCTTCAAGTTCTACCAGTAATCATTCACGGGCATCGACATGTCAAAAGAGAAGAATCGTTGGATTCACTTCGCGGGCAGATCGCCCGCTGCCTTCAGCTAAGGATGTTGATATTACGGTTTTGCTGGGCACTGATGTTTTCGGCTTGATCGTACCCTTGGAAATGAGAACTGATCCAAAGGGAACTCTAAGAGCAGTATGCACAGCTCTTGGGTGGACAGCGACATCTCGCATTCCAGCACAGCCACCGCACTCAAAGTCTATATAACGACTCCCGAAGAAGATCTCTCTCATCAAGTCCAACAGTGGTGGAAGACAGAAACGTTCAAAATACGCGGAGAAAACCTCCCGATCAGTTGAGGACAAGAAAGCACTGGAAATCCTTGAGACGACCAAAGATCGTGCTAATTTGACACCTTAATTCGCGGTGTCAATTTAGCACCCGATATGGTGTTATTCTGTACCTTTTTATTTGACACCTTTTTTGGTGTCAATATGACACCGCAAAATTAACAGTGCAGACACGTCGGAAATCGATACGAAACTCTTCTCCTGTGGAAAGAGAGAGGATTTATACTGCCTGACAATCGTGCTGTGGCTGAGAAACAACTGTTCTTATTTCAACCCGCCTGCTGCCCCCCCCCTTTTTTCTTGGGAGTTTGGGAGCGTTTAGTTCAATCGTGCAAACGAGTCATCAATGCGGTCGTCGAAACAACACCTTGACGGATGAAGTCTTGTTGACGATTATGGTAGAAGTGGAGCCTTTTAAGCGGACGGCCACTTACTCATGTTAGCACACATCTTTCGGATAAGAAAACGTTGACCCCCAACCATTTCCTTTTGAGACGATCTAACCCGAACTTGCCTCCGGTGTGTTCGTACAGACAAAAAGGTTCCAGCCGCAAGCGATGGCGACAGTTATTGTGGATCACGTGCGGGAACGTTGGCTTCAGGAATATGTCCCGAATCTTTTGGAACGACAGAAGTTGAAAGTAAAGGTTCGAAACGTGAAGCTAGGAGAACCTGTTCCCGTGGTTGATAAGGACGCCCCACGTGGGCCGTGTTACGAAGCCAATTGTTGGAGATCTAGGTGTAGTCCGAGCAGCTGAAGTTCAGACAAAAAAAGGACCGCTTGTCCGGCTGGTTGGAAAGCTTGCGTCTCTGGAAGAAGCTGCTGACATTTAGAGTCGTGTACGCCGTAAAAAATCAGGACAAATACGGGGCCGGCGATGTCCCGCCCGGACACGCATTAATACGTTAATTTGTTCATATTCTATTAGTGAATCCGGTTTACCGGAAGTGATGTCAGCGATAACGAATGAAAAAGAAACGAACGATAGACGTTTGTATGAGATAGAATTCCAGATTTATCAACGTAAATGATAAACCTTTTACAGTGTTTGATGATTCGTAACGTAAGGTGCCGAAACATGACCTTTGAGCCTAGTGAACTTTGATAATAAAATCTGGAAGGCTAACTACACAAATTTGCCTTATGATCGGTTATATATGTTCAGCAACCAAAAGTAAAAGAATGTGCAAGAAGTTAGCATACGTGCTGACCGACAAATTATTGAAAACGCTGTATCAAATTATTGAAAACTATATATGGAGTAATCATTAATCAGAACATGACTTGGGTTGATCACGTGGACAACGTGTGTGCTAAAGTCACTCAAAGAATTGGGATTATTAGACATATTAGGAAATTGATACGATTACATGCTAGACTAATATTTTGTATAATAGCCTTATCAGTCCTTTGTTTAATTATGCTGATTTTGTATACTCATATAGGGAGATTAGAATAATGTTTGTTTGATGAATCAGCTGCAAGTTTTACAGTACAAGGCTGCTAAAACAGTGCTTGATGTACCTATGTATTTATCTGCTGCTGAGGCTTTAGAGAAATTGGAGGCTTATAATAGCATTCAAGTACTTTTATGGCCATATTGAGCCTTTACAAAAAAATCCCAGGAATTAAATGAAACTTATTTTATTTTATCCCTAGTTTCAGAAATAATTACTCTTTAGTGTAATTAAGCGGAAGTGTTTTGTCATATGAATTTTGAAAGTTATCCGCATGCAAAATCAAATGCTTATAGTAACGCGGTTATTATTCTAGTACCAATATAATTTTCTTTTATGTAACAAAATCTAAGTTAGGCTGTCAGCCCGTATGCAAAAGGGTTTATTTCAGGCGTTCAGCTCAACAGTTTTCATTGTTTTTGAGTTTTCATTGTTTTTGGGTTATTTTATAACAGAGCTAAAGTTTTTTAATAGTTGTTGCCGTTCAGTGATCACGCATGTCATTACTGCTAGTTTTTAGCTTCATTCAAGGCAAAATCAGTCATCGAAAACGCACGCACATGGGGCGGTTCAATTAAATGACGAAAAATTAATTCAATAGTTGTCAATTAAATGATCGTTTCGTGCGGATAGGTTTGCAAAAATTTTGCGCGCGAAATATTTCACAGAGCGATAAAAAGTGTCTAATTGAAAAGTATATATGTTTTCCCTTTCCTCGTTATCAAAACCCTTCCGACGCAGGACAAGGGTTGGTGAGGGTGAACTGTTGGAAATTGAAAAAACTCGAATCAACGATGGCTTAGCGAGTGATAATCAGTTAAAGATTGTACGAAGATTTGCAGGTAATCCAAGTGTCGACGAATTCTTTAGTTTTTGAGGCTGATAACTCCGGATTTTATCGCGCTAACTTATTGTTTCGCTGTTTTTTTTATTCCAGAGAGACTTGGTTGTGTTGGCGGAACACGGGAGATGTCCGCAGAGGAAAAAATGTACCACGATTTGTTCGCTGTCAACAGCGAAACAGAAGGTTAGTGAATTTTACAAGGGTTAATCAAATTACGCTTCTGCCTTTGTAAATGTCATCTTGTTTTTTTCTATTGTGCACATTTTTAAAGCCGCCTTGTTTTTAATAGCTTTTGAACATAGAAAGAAACATATGAGCGCCCCAGTACAATTGCTATCATAATTATTTTTCTTTTCTTTTTCTTCATACAGATTGTGGCCACACGAAAAAGACACCGAGAAGGAAGAGCGATAAAGAAGTTCAACTTTCTGAAGTGATATTTGAAAAAAACAACGACGAAGACAACGGTGGCGATAACTTACCATGCTGTGACACAGTTCACACAGAAGACCTCACTTGCCGAGACGTAACTCGTCAAATTGGTAAGTTGATATACCACAACATACATGACCAACCTATACCTAAGTTTTAAAAAAATTTCAGATAAAAACCGCGCTGGTAAAATAAAATTGAACTTATAGACTGCCTGTGAAAAGGAGTGTTGATATTGCTAAGCGTGGAATTATGTGTACGATGCGTGGAATTATGTGTGAAACATTTTGTCAAATGTGGAACGCGTTGTCATTAACAATACAATTCATCTTATTTCCAGCCTCAGAAATTGCCGTCGAGTGTCGTCAGTTGGCAAAAGACGACAACGAAAGAAAGGAAAAACAGTTGAAATTAAAGTTGGGCATTTCTGACACGCCTACACAACAGCTTGCGAAAATAGGGCAATATGTCAATGCAGAGAGTTCCGACTCAAGCGTCCATGTCCGAGAATTGAATGTAGAACCTCTTTGTGAGGTAAGCGAAACTAATCAAGCATGCATAGGATACACTTTCTAGGAAGAAGGCTGGCAAACTAATAAAATATCAGTCGCAATTAAAAGTTCTTTAACCTGGGTTCTTTACAATCCCTTCAGCTTGCCAAAGAGGATATCGAAGTCAAAGAGAACAAACGTTCAAAAAGAATGAAACGAAAGCACAGAAAGGTGAACCCTTTATGTGATTCGACTACAGGCAACAACTCAGTGAAACCTGAACCTTGTCCAATGAAGAAACTATCTGATATCTACAAAATGTTTCAAGGATCAACGTCAAGTGACATCCACTCCCGAGAAGTTCTCTCCGTCGAACCAGATGATGAGTTCAACAGAGGTGTTGAGAAAGCAGATGCAGAAGGTAAACATCGTTTTTTAGGCGAAAGAAAGTGAGCTTAATTTTGTCTACTAGCTACATACATACCAGGTGCTGTTATTTTCACACGTCACAACTAAACATTTCACAAATGAATCTTAACTTAATAGCGTCATCTTCTGCGGAAACATCTGCTGCCAAAAAAAGTAAACGGTCCATGTTTTGGAAACTTGGAAAAAAAATTAAACAGCCAAGGGAAATCGACGAAGAAAAGGAAACAACGTCCAAACAACACAAGACCTCCATATTCAAATTCTTTAAAAAAGCAGAGAAGGGGAAAGCATTCAAGGAACCAAAATCGAAAGCATGTTCTTCTGAAGAACAAAACATCGACGAAGAAAGAACAAAATGGTAAAAAATTAAGTTATCGAGAACAGCTGCTACACCAAGTGATCTTTACAAGAAAAAGACAGCTTCCACCACAGGAAGCCAATAAGCCTCTCAAAACACAACACCCAATTCACAAGATTTAACAACAACTGAAAAGATAACAACTTTAAAAACCCAAAACAAAACTTTCCAGGACAAACAAACAATACCAAATGACACACAAAAAAGTTCCAATGTCAATTTACAAGAATTTCAATGTCCAAACACAATAATTCTAGCAATGCCTCAACATCAGAGTATCAACTTCCTCACATCAGAGTTCCAACGTCCAAACAAAAGAGTGTCCTCACAAAAGAGTTCCGACGTCCACACCTGCAAAAAACTTCCAGCGGCCACACAGAAGAGTCCAATGTCAAAACAAAACAGTTCCAGCGTATACACAAAACAGAGCAGTGTCCTTAAAAAAGAGTTCCAACCACTAAACAAAAGCGTTTTCGCGTCAACAGAGAAGACGTGCAAGATCAACCTAAAAGAGTTCCAGCGTCCACACGAAAAAGTTCCAACGTCCACCAAAAAAAGTTCCAGAAAAAGAAAGCGTCAACACAAAAGAGTCCCAGCTTCCACACGAAAGATTTCCAGTGTCAACACAAATACACATGCAAAAGAGTTCCAACGTCCACACATGCAAAAGAGTTCCAGCGTCCACACACGCAAAAGGGTCCGGCGTGCACACACAAGAGTTCCAGCGTCAGCACGAAAGAGTTCCAAGGCCACACAAAAGAGTTCCAGCATCCACATTTGCAAAAGCGTTCCGGCGTTCACGCACAAGATTTCCAGCGTCCACCCAAAAGAGTTCAAGCATCCACAAAAAAGAGTTAAAGCGTCACCACACAAGAGTTACAGCGTCCACACGAAATAGTTCCAACGTCAACCAAAAAAAGTTCCAGCGTCCACACGAAAGAGTTCCTGCGTAAACACAAAAAAGTTCCAGCGTCAACACAAAAGAGTTCCAGCGTCACACATGTAAAAGAGTTCCAGTATCCACATATGCAAAAAAGTTCCAGTGTTCACACACGCAAAAGAGTTCCAGCGTCCACACATGCAAAGTGTTCCAGCGTCCACACATGCAAAAGAGTTCAGCGTCCACCTATGCAAAAGATTTCCAGCGTTCGCACCCAAGAAGTCCAGCGCCCACAAATGCAAAAGATTTCCAGCGTCCACACATGCAAAAGAGTTCAAGCATCAACATATGCAAAAACGTTCCAGCGTTCATACATGCAAATGAGTTCCAGCGTCCACATATGCAAGAAAAATCCAGCGTTCACAAATGCAAAAGAGTTCAGCGTCCACATACAAGAGTTCCAGCGTCCACATATGCAAAGAGTTCCAACGTCCACACATGCAATAGAGCTCCAGCGTACACATATGCAAAAAAGTTCCAGCGTTCATACATGTAAAAGAGTTCCAGCGTCCACATATGCAAAGAGTTCCAGCGTCCACACATGCAAAAGAGTTCAGCATCCACACATGCAAAAGAGTTCCAGCATCCACACACAAGAGTTCCAGCATCCACACACAAGAGTTCCAGCATCCACACACAAGAGTTCCAGCGTCCACACATGCAAAAGAGTTCAGCGTCCACACACAAGAGTTCCAGCATCCACACACAAGAGTTCCAGCGTCCACACATGAAAAAGAGTTCCAGCGTCCACATATGCAAAAAAATTCCAGCGTCCACAAATGCAAAAAAGTTCCACTGTTCATACATGCAAAAGAGCTTCAGCGTCCACATATGCAAAAGAGTTCCAGCGTCCACACATGCAAAAGAGTTCAGCGTCCACACACAAGAGTTCCAGCGTCCACACATGAAAAAGAGTTCCAGCGTCCACATATGCAAAAAAATTCCAGCGTCCACACATGCAAAAACGTTCCAGCGTTCACACATGCAAAAGATTTCCAGCGTTCGCACCCAAGGAGTCCAGCGTCCACATATGCATAAGATTTCCAGCGTCCACACATGCAAAAGAGTTCAAGCGTCCACACATGAAAAAGAGTTCCAGCGTCCACATATGGAAAACAATTCCAGCGTCCACATATGCAAGAAAGTTCCAGCGTTCACACATGCAAAAGAGTTCTAGCGTGCACATATGCAAAGAGTTCCAGCGTCCATACATGCAAATGAGTTCAACGTCCACATATGCAAAGAGTTCCAGCGTCCACATATGCAAAGAGTTCAAGCATACACATATGCAAAAAGTTCCAGCGTCCACATATGCAAAGAGTTCCAGCGTCCACATATGCAAAGAGTTCCAGCGTCCACATATGCAAAGAGTTCCAGCGTCCACATATGCAAAGAGTTCCAGCGTCCACATATGCAAAGAGTTCCAGCGTCCACATATGCAAAGAGTTCCAACGTCCACACATGCAATAGAGCTCCAGCGTACACATATGCAAACAAGTTCCAGTGTTCATACATGTAAAAGAGTTCCAGCTTCCACATATGCAAAAGAGTTCCAGCGTCCACACATGCAAAATTGTTCAGCGTCCACACACAAGAGTTCCAGCGTTCATACATGCAAAGAGTTGCAGCGTCCATACGAAAGAGTTCCAAGACGCAAAAGAGTTCCAGCGTCAACACAAAAGAGTTTCAGCGTCCACACACAAGACTTCCAGCGTTCACACAAAAGAGTTGCAGCAAATCCGTCGTCCTCACAAAAATGTTCCAGCGTCCGCACAAAAGAGTTCAGCGTCCGCACAAAAGAGTTCAGCGTCCACACATGCAAAAGAGTTCAGCGTCCACACACAAGAGTTCCAGCATCCACACATGAAAAAGAGTTCCAGTGTCCACATATGCAAAAAAATTCCAGTGTCCACATATGCAAAAAAGTTCCACTGTTCATACATGCAAAAGAGTTCCAGCGTCCACATATGCAAAACAGTTCCAGCGTCCACACATGAAAAAGAGTTCCAGCGTCCACATATGCAAAGAGTTCCAGCGTACTTATATGCAAGGAGTTCCAGCGTACACATATGCAAAGAGTTCCAGTGTCCACATATGCAAAAAAGTTCCAGCTTTCACACATGCAGAAGAGTTCCAGCGTACACATATATGCAAAGAGTTCCAGCGTACACATATGCAAAGAGTTCCAGCGTTCACACATGCAAAAGAGTTAAGCGTCCACACACAAGAGTTCCAGCGTCCACACACAAGAGTTCCAGCGTCCACACACAAGCGTTCCAGCTTCAACACACAAGAGTTCCAGCATCCACACACAAGAGTTCCAGCTTCAACACACAAGAGTTCCAGCGTTCATACATGCAAAGAGTTGCAGCGTCCATATACGAAAGAGTTCCAAGACGCAAAAGAGTTCCAGCGTCAACACAAATGAGTTTCAGCGTCCACACACAAGACTTCCAGCGTTCACACAAAAGAGTTGCAGCAAATCCGTCATCCTCACACAAATGTTCCAGCGTCCGGACAAAAGAGTTCAGCGTCCGCACAAAAGAGTTCAGCGTCCGCACAAAAGAGTTCAGCGTCCGCACAAAAGAGTTCAGCGTCCACACAAAGAATGAAGGCGAGATATTCAGACAAGATAAATTAACTTTGACTAAGTTGTGTACACGACAACTAAACTTCGCAATGTGTTTTTGAACAAGAGTTTAAATTTCTGCACATCTCAATTGCAGCAAATATCATTGCTTATCGCTTGCTATAACTTGCTTAAATTGCTTACTTGCTTATATTTGCTTAACTGCTTTGCGATCCTTGAAAAAGTATCTGTATTAAAAAAAATATTAAATTGTTCTCGTTTGATTTTCATTAAAAAAATATTACCGAGCGTTGTTTGAGCGTTTTTTAATTCAAATTGAGGTTTTATCTGCACATTGCATGTTCTGTATCGTGCGGCTTATCCGCACTTGCAGTACTGTCCAGAAATAAACTAACAAAAAGCGCGGTTAACCTAGGGTCCTAGGTCAAATCTCGGTCTGATGCGGTTGAACCGAGGAAAATTTATTCAATATAGTTGTCAATTAAATGATCCTTTCCTGCGGATAGGTTTGCGAAAACTTTGCGCGCGAAATATTATTCGCAGAGCGATGAAAATTGGTTAATTGAAAAGTATGTTTCTCTTTCATCATTTTCAAAACCCTTCCGACGCTGTACGAAGAAAATCTTTATTCAATATGGCGGATGAGTGTGGTATATCGAGCTCGGCTAATTGGTCTCAAATAACTCCCCATAATTGGGATCTTAATGAAATTAAACGGTACAAAAAAGAGAAGTGTTTTATTTTCGACCTAGTCTAGGACCTGTAAAGGAGTTTGTATGCATTTCATTTAGGACAGATTATCTCAACTGTTTTAGGGTAAAATGACCATGGCGGTCAACATAGCATATGTGCCAAAATGTGAATCCGGGACGAAAGTCCTGAAAATTACCACACCCAGAAACGGCATAGTCGACATAGCTCTAAATCCTGAATTACTAAAGCTACAGTCTTTCTGAATTGTTTATATGGTTCAGAATGGTTGCTTTTAGGGGTGGTCACTGGAGGGTGAAATTAGCCTAAGTTTCATATTTTACAAGAAAATGAATGTTTACTATTCCAGGTAAACTGCTAATTATGCATAAAATTACAGATTCACCTGGCAAAGTCTAATTTTCCCTATTTTCTAAAAATTTTTG